AAACAATGCCTGCGTTCAGGTCCAGTGCGATCTGAAAAAATAGTGTTTGCTGCATTTTTTCACATCACACTAGACCGGAACACAGCAGGCATTGTTTGACCACGCGTTGCGGTGCGGCCGATTGCACTGCCATTGACATCAACGCACCGCCACGCCCCCCCCCCCCCCCCCCACCGCCGGTTTATTCAAAATATATTTCAATGTGTGTGACACACACCCCCCCCCCCCCCCCCCCCCCCACCCCCGAACGCAGGGATATGTTCCAGTGCGTTCCAGCAGAGAGTCGTGCTAGGAACGCACCAGAGCTGGTGTGACAGGGCCCGAAATTATTGTGCTTCCAATGCACTAGAAAGGCCCAAAAAAACAGACATGTAGCGTTTTTTCTGAAGCAGCAACAGTAACACAACGTACAACAGTAATGTGTTACTATGCATTGTGGTGCAGTGCAACACAGGTGTGTTGGTTTAGTGAATTGAGGTGCTATTCAGAATGAATGGTACCACAGCGAGCTAATGCACTTGCAATATGGGTTGCAGTAACATGCGCATTACCACAGTGCACCATAACAGATAAATCGACCCTTAGGCTGGGTTTAGGGCTCATGTCAACGTTAGGTTTGTTTTCCTGTGTTTCCAGGTCAGCCAAATCCCATTGACTTTTATACACACATGGCAGGTCAGAGGCCGTGTTCGACATGCTCAGCATTGCGTTTTGTTTCTTTGGATGCAGCATGTCCTATTACGTTTCGTTTAAACTCCATGCATTTTGTATTTGACGCAGCTGCAAAAGCTCAAAAAATAAATAAATGTTTAACTAGAACATTCGCCGACGTGAACCCTTAGGGCTAGTTCATGCCATCCTCACTGCACTGGATCGCATTCCGGCTGGCTCACTTTGTTTTGGGGTGGGGAAGTGCATTTAACTCAATGGCACCGCAGTCGTGCCCTCCAGCCGCAATGCGATCAGCCGCACGGGAATGCGTGGCACATCAGTGCCTGCGTCTTGGTCCGGTGCAGTCAGAAAAAGTAATGCACGCACTATTTTTTCTCACTGCACTGGAGCGGAACGCAGACACTAATGTGCCATGCGTTCCGGTGCGGCTGATGGCATTGCGGCCGGAGGGTGTGGTTGCAGTGCCATTGAGTTCAATGCACCGCCATGCCCCCTCCCACCCCAAAACAAAGTGAGCCATCTGGAATGTGATCCAGTGAGTTCCGGCCACAATCGGGGAGGATGGTGTGAACTAGCCCTTACATTGTTGGTGGACTGTAGATTATTCTCAACACCACCTCAGTGCACAGACGTGTGTTGGAGTGCACAACAATGCATGGTAACACACTACCAAATGTTATGGCGTGCGCTGACTTATAATTCGATTCGTTCACGCACTGTTTTTGATGCGTTTTGGTGCCTTAGGCAGCCCATTTAAGTCAATGGGCTGCATCTACCCAGGGTATTGACCTAAGCATAGTTCAAGACACTAGGAAGCTTCTTTTGTGCGTCATTTTGTTTTTTTAAACCATGCAAATGTGCGGTTTTGAAGCATTTTTCGTATGTTTTTCAGCTTCACCCACAGGGGGCGTGTTGCCCCATAAAGCGTGAAGGGGCGGGTGTTGATGTGCTCAGAGCTGCAGGAAGAAGAGTGAGGACAGTTAATTTACGTCTATGAAAACACAGGAGCTGTGGAGGTAGAGATGGGTTGTTGGGTGAAAAAACACACTTAAAGGAGAACTATGGAGTCAGGGCTTTTCCCCATAGTTCTTCTAAGGGTAACGGGAGGACACAAACCAGCGTCCTCCCGTCACCCAAAGCTCAGTATATAGCGAGCTACAGCCCCACAATTCTGTCTGGATCCACCCAGCTGCCTGAGTGACAGCTGGCCGTACCTATCTAGAGGCAGAACCAGCTGTACCCGCCCCCTCCCCCCGTCCGTTCCGCCATTCAGCACCGGAGGATCATTACTGAAAAATGGCCTGGATGGGAAGGGGGTTTAACACCGCGGATGTCAACTGGTTAAACACTTTTGTCGCACGTTTTCAGGTGTTCCCATCAACAGTCATATGGTTTTTCAGGGGATTAGCAGCAGCACAAGGCTCATTTGTGCTCACTATTCCTCCCAACTTTCTGTGATGGGAGAGAGGGACACCCTTTAGCCCACAGTTGGGCAACTCTGGCCCTCTAGCTATGCTTTAACTACAGATCCCAACATGCCTCTGGGAGTCATGCCTGTAACTGTCAACACCTCATGGTACTTATAGTTTCACAACAGCTGGAGGGCCAGAGTTGCCACCCCAGCTTTAGCGCAAAGTGTGTAGGCAAAGGACTCACCCCCTGCCACGCCCCCAGTTACGTGGACCATGAACAATTAATAAGCCAAAAAATGATTGGCTAAACCCACAAATGCTTTTTTCATCTTAGTGTTTCCATATACTGGATTTGATTAATATATTTGATTATAAAAAGGTTTGTGTGGAAGGTTTAGCGTAGTGTAACACTTTTTGTAGTTATAGTGCAGCTGAAGCCAAAACGTTTTGATTTCGTTTTGGATCCAGTGAAGAGGGATTAGATCACCTGTTGGATCCATATCATTGTCTGTGTTCCCGTTGTGGAGATTCTATTCATCTGGGTGACCATTTTCGCTGTGAGTGGAAGTGAAAGAAAATTCCAAATTTCAGGTTGTCACCAAAACAGGAATAGATGGGAAATCTTGCAATGGGGACACTAGTTCTAGGGACCGTGCTAACCACCACAGATTTTCCTTACTTTGGAGGCATTTCCTTACACTTCTTGTTGTGCCTTCAGACCCTAACGGGACACAGATTGCAACAAAAAAAGGCTGACGGTGCTGTTTTGGCTTCATTTCTAAGTTTTGCAAGTATTAGTAGTAGTAGGACATTCACATGGGCCTCCAAGGGGCTGTAAAAACAGGATGTTGATCCACCCACTGACAAGGTAGTACTGCAGCTGGACACATTGCCACAGCATGGCATGGCAAAAATAAGACAGCATGACACTTTTGGCAGGTACACCGGACAGCGGCGCAATTGCGTACCAAACCATTGGTTGCGGTGTGGTAGTTCCATGTGCATCACTTTTCAGCAGGGCAGTAAAGTGATGAGAACAAGGCTATATAGAGGTCTAGAGCAGCCTTTATCAACCAATGTGCCTATTGCCTACCTCAGGGGGTGCCTCAACATTTTCACACAGCATCTTGCCTTTCTATGGTGCAGGAGGGCTCCTGATGTAAAGGGGGGACTGTGATGTAAAAAGGGTCTCTGATGTAAAGGGGGATTCTGGTGTGAAGGAAGGGACTCTTATGTGAAGGGGGGACTCTGATGTGAAAGGGGGACTCTGTTTTCTGATGTAATGGGGGAACTCTGATGTAAAGGGACTCTGATATGAAAAGGTGGCTTCTCATGTGAAAGAAGGTGACTCTAATGTAAAGGGAGGTACTCTGATGTGAAGAGGGGGCTTTTCATGTGAAGGGGGGCTCTAAAGTATATGGAGAGACTCTGATGTGAAGAGGGACTCTGATGTAAAAAGGGAGCTTTTCATGTGAAGGGAACTCTGATGTGAAGGGAGAGACTCTGATGTGAAGGGGGACTGTGATCTCAAAGGAATTTTTTTTTATGGAGAGCTGATATAAAAGGGGACTCTGATGTGAAGGGGGCCTCTGGTGTGAAGGGGGGAGCTGATGTAAAGGGGAACTCTGATGTAAATGGTCCGGATGTGAAGGAGGATTCTGATGTAAAGGGGGGTGGGGACTCTGATGTGATGGGGCTTCCTGATTTAAAGAGGGGCTCCTGATGTAAAGGAGGCTCCTAATGTGAGGGG